ATGTTGCATACTCATCTGGAAGGTGTTGAGGTTGAGGTCAGACCCGGAATGGTCCAGAGTCGGACCAAAAATGATGTTAGAGCCAGAGGTGGGATAACCTCTTGGAGTCGGGGTGGCAAGAAGGAAGTGGGGCTCCAGAGTCAGTTTTGGAGTTCTGGAAGCCTGGAGTGGAGGTCGGGATTGTACAGATATGACACTTGACTTCAAAGCTTGATGCTTTGGAGTCACCAGAGCTGTTCTCTGGTTTGTCTTCCAGTGAGTCTTCTGACTCTTCTTCTGATGCATGGGTGACTTCCATGGCAGCTATGTGCCTTGGCTTTTCATTGCTTGTGGCATGGTGTTTAGGGAAATCTTTTGTTTGCCCTAATTTGCTGCATTTGCCACAAATTGGAACTGACTTTTGGTCAGTCCTCCTTGTTAGAACTGGGTGAGAGTGTGTCACGACCGACAAATCCTGGGGCTCCGTCAGCGGTGAACCAATGCCAATAGGTGAATCCGCCAACCCGAAACCCATCCTAACCAGCCCCCAACCCCATGTCTGGCCCCCTGCCTTATTGCGTGAGACTTGGCCAATAATCAGAACCTAGACCCTGCCAGTATTCTGACCTTACCTCCAGTTCCTGAGCCCTTGGTGCTCCTGGCATTCAGTCCCTCCAGTTCCTATGCCTGCCTTGTCTCCATCTGAACCACACTCATTGCTTCCCGCTTTGTGGTCACAGCCATGCCCTGCTTCAGTGCATTCTGCACCCTCTGCCTACTCCACACCCTCTGCCCACTCTGCCCACTCTGCCCATCTCTGCACCCTCTGGCCACTTCTGGTTGCCCTTGACACCTCTGGTCAGGTCAACACTCCCACTCTCCTCTGTACCTCTGTTGGCCTTCATGCTGTCCTTGTGTGACAGTGCTGGCAGATCAACCTCTGTTTGCGGACTTGTGTCGGCACCGCACTGACCCCGCTTATTTGCAGACTTGTATCAGCACCGTGTGCTGACCTCCGCTTTTGTCCTCTGGCCATTTTTGTCACTCAGCAACATAACATTCATTCCTTGCCGAGTGCCTATTATGTTCACCCCAATATTGGCATTTGATCTGTGTGCTATTGCACTTTCCTATTCATTCATTTAATCTGTCAATATTGGTACTTGATCCGCTTTGACCTTATTCATTCCTTGCCTCCCATTTCCCAGGTTCTTGTCCTTGGTTTAGTTTGACAAGTCCCCGCTCATTTCCGCTTATTGCCGCACCGGACCGACCGGTCCAGACTCGAACCCAGCTGTCTCTGCTTCATGGATGCGCACTGCACAATGTTAGAAAATAATTAAGTACCCCTTTGTATTACAATTCAGAAATCACGTTATCTGGACAAAGCTGCAATCAATACAGACCACCCCAATACAGTTATTAATACAAATAATAAGTCACATGTAACGGGGTTAAAGAGTGTCAGGGACAGCTCCGAAAGCGGCGAGGTCCCTGCGCGCGGGACTCGGTGGGACGAATAGCGGCTGTGCATAGCGGCGATCCCGTCGCGGGGTGAGCATCCCCGACCACTTAGTCTGAAGTGGGAAGTTGAGATTATCATTAAAGGGGAAAGCTACGGTACTTACCTGAAGTGGGAAGTTGAGAAGAAGGCTGCTTCTTCTGTTCCCACCCCAGGCACTATTATATACATGTGGCTAGGGTCATGTGGAGGAAGCCACGTCATCTCCGCACACAGCCGCACCTCCCTGGGTGTCTCTGCAGAAGATCCCGGAGGTGGCCACTCAGTAGGCGGGGGTGTGCACGGCGCATGCAGTGATCAGGGGGGGCGGGGTTAGGTATGTAGTGGTACATAGAGAAAGGGAAATCGACCGTAGAATAGAAATAGAAATAGAGATAGGGAGAAAGGGGAAAGTGGGGGAGGAGAGACGGGGAGTGATAGTGGGGTAGTGCAGTACGGTGCAGGGTGCGGCGTGGGGTCAGGCGGGCGTGCCCTGACAAAGAGTTCATGTCCGATCATCTACTCCGAAAACCAGCGCGCGACACTTCGCTACGACGACTGGTTCACTATGGCAGTGGCAGTGCCCACCGGCAAACCCTGAAACAACTCTTGGGTCTCAAAAAGGAATCTCCTAGAAGCACCAAACCCACCCCCCGCTCCTTCACTGTCTTTTACACCATGGACTCACCCACAGATCGTGCAACAGACACTAGGACACCTTCCGCTGAGCATATAAGGGTTCAGAGTGAAGTGACTTGGAACCGACATGCTTGCTGGTTCCAAGCTGAGATTGCCGAGTTTCTGCTTCGCAAGCCAAAGCAGAATTTAGTATCAACAGCTGCAACAGGGACAGGGAAAACCTACACTTTTTTCCTCCCAGCCCTCTTTGAAAAAAATAACCTGGGAGTCTCTTTCATCATTGTACCACTGAAAAAACTGGCGGATCAGCATGTAGAAAGTGCCAAGGATTTAGGGCTCACTGCAATAGCACTGGAAGCGATGACGATAAACAAGGAAACCATCAAGGCACGTATTTATCGATAAATGATTGGTTATGCATTTATGGTTATGTTATGTTACTCATCAAGCAGGAGATCAGAAATGGGAAATACCGGTTTGTCGTTCTAGGGCCCGACTTACTGCGAGGGAATCTGCTTAGACCTCTGTGGATGAACAACATGTTCATTGATAAGATTAACCGTATTATTGTGGACGAGGCACACTGTGCAGTCCAGTGGCTGTCATTCCGAGCAGCATATAGAAACTTTATTCCTACCTCCGAAATAGATGCCAATGGTATCTAACTTCTGCCACATTGGACACTCATGTGTGCAGGAAATTATTGTCAGAAATTGGCTTGGACCCTTGCTATAGCACTTACAGCAGCAAGACAACCAAATGGATGCATCGCTCCAATGACCGTCCAAACCTCCATTACTGTGTCTGCCAAATGCAATACAGCAAAGAATCATGTAATGACCTCGGATTCCTTATCCCGCCTGGCCTAAAAGAATCTGATCCCCTCCGATTCCATTTCTCATGTACTGTGAATCCCGGAGTGATGGCGAGCGCAGTGCCAACTTCCTGAGGTCGCGAATTTGTGCATCCCTCCAAGAAAAGGTTGTTTGGGTTCATTCCAGGATGTCTGATGGACACAAGTTGAAGGTAGTCAACTTGTTTAAGGAAGGGAAACTCATTGGACTTATGAGTACAGAATCATTGGGACTGGTCTGAATTCTCATTGTATTTCTTGCATTGCATATCTGATTGAGATCAAACAGGGCCACAATCTAGCAAATGTGACTCGTTTGGTTCAGTTTGGTCCACCAGATAATTTAAACACGTTGACTCAGCGCTCTGGAAGAGCTGCTCGGAATCCAGACATTTCGGCAGTTGTTGTTCTTCTTGTGCCAAAAGACTACCTTGAGCCAACACGCCGCCAGCGAGAGGAGAGGGCTCTAAGGTCAGCAGAGAGCCGGAAGCGGAAGAGCAATGCCACAGTGACCGAGCAGAGACAAAGGGACAAGTGACGAAAAAAACTCCCAACAGAAAGCCAAGTTGATGTTGCCACTCCCACCGAAAATCAAGAGTTTGATAATCAGTTACTTGAACTGCATCGTCCAGATCCAGCATTGCCACCCAGGATCGATGTATGGCCTACTAGTGACATTGGCCCTGATCCTCTACTTGAAATTGCGGGTGTTAACGACAAGGAGAAACAACCTCCCAACCCAGTGGAGGAGTGGGAAGAGTGGGGCGATTTGACATTCACCGATCTTGAAGCACTAATTGACGATGCTGAGAAAGGCGATGATGGGTTGGCAGGGATGTGGGAGGGTAATCATAGTTTGGCAAGTGTGGCGAGTGGACAAGCTGTGGCTGTGGCGAATAGACAAGCCGTGGCAAGTGGACAAGTGAGTAAGTGGCTCACACCGATATTTAGACATGGATACTAATGTCAGTGACCATGCAATGAAGCGGCTTGGCAAGGTGGCCTGCACCAAGATTTAGACCTCAACCAGATTGGCATGATGCCACCTTTGAAGGCGCCCGAGAAGAAGACCTGCAGAAGAAATCCAGGGCACCGTGCGAACGTCGACCCTGGATTGGATGCCTTCATCAATGCCCAATGGCTCCCGAAAGATGACCCTCGCCATGGATGCCGGAGGAAAGTGCTTGAGGTGCACTTCGGTAATGACTGCATCTGTACGTAAGGTTATGTTGTTGGCATGTGCCCTGCAACTCAATTCTTATGTCAGCGAAACCCTGTTCGTGTTGCAAACACTGTGATTTGCACAAGCCCGTGACTTGTTGCGATCTCCATACCCCCAGTCTTGCTGCCCCTATGTTCCATCAAGAACTCGTGGAGCCACCCTCCAAGTGGCACCCTCAGCATGTGAAACCCAACTACATAAAGGATGTCAAGCGGTCTGCTCAGCTCAGCCGCACACTTAAGGACTGGAGAAAAGACAAGTTTTCTCACCGTTATCCCAGGCATCAAGACAACTTGTGGATAGGCGACTGGGCAGTACTTGGGGACTCAATTATTGACGATATTGTGTACCATGCGAACTTCAACCGACTGTCAACTCCCCAAGACTTTACACAACTCATTGACTGGGAGGAGCGAGGCCGCTATGCCTCCATGTTGTTACCGATCATTCTTAGAGTTTTCCCCCTTCCCACATCACTGCTTTCTCAGCCTCAACCACCTGCTCAGCCTTCCACTTTAATGGAATCTGGGACTACCCTTCCCCTTCGCATGAAAAAGTGTGGTAACTGCAGCAAACATGGCCACAATGGTGAGATTCCTTAGTCACTCCAACATGTTTAACGCTCATTGTTTCTCTGCTAGCTCATACTTGCCCTGAGCATTGCAAGGCTTGTAATCAGCCAGGTCATCCCAGTAAGTAATACGAGCTTCTATATACAATCATAATAGGTTAACATTGTTTTTAGAGACATGCTGTCCAAACAAGGAAAATTCCGCCACTCGCTCTGACTTGACCATCCCACATTGTCAAACATCCAAGTCATCCACCTCAATTTGGTAAGTCTCATAAGTCTCATCCGTTGATTCCAGTTGACTTATGTTGCTTGATCCTCGCATTGTGCCATGTTGGAATAGTTTGAGACCTTTCTGAATGTGGTCTTCTATTAGAGTACGTGAAGTGCGTTCTTTTACGTATTTGTGAGGACAAAGGTTACGAAGTTCGCGTTGGATAGCAACTAATCTGGATTCTATGTCAGGAGTTGCATGGTGAAGGGTCTTGTCGGGTATGTGGTAATCCTCCTCAACATCTTCAATGCAGGTTCGATAGGCCTGAATTATCGACGACTGACTAACGATGTATTCTATTGTTTTTCCAGATTGTCATATCCATACAATCCTGACCTCCGCTCCGGGCTCCCGGAACTCCGAACCTGACTTCCGGAGTCCTACTTCCCTTCCATCACCTTCTCCTTGCCTACTCCCAAGAGGTTATCCCACCTCCGGCTCCAACACCACCTTCGGTCCGACTCCAGAACATTCCGGGTCCGACCCCAACCTCGACACCTTCCAGACGAGTACACAACACCTATGCTCCCGACTCCGGACCTCCGCTCCGGAATCCTGTTTGCATCTCCGTCTCCGGAACCTCCAGTCTTAGCTCCGACCTCGGACTTTGACCCCACCTCCGCTTATACCCATTGTATTGGTTAGCTCATTCCATTTAATTACATTTGCCAATATTCCGGAGTTTAACCTCCGAGTTCGGACTTTCCAGACTTACTCCGGACCTTGCAACTATTGCATTGTCCATTTCAATTCCGCTATTCTCCCTCATTCCTATTTGGGCTGCTGCTTCCTTTCTATTCAGTCAGCTAGCCATTCCCCACTCCCAACCTCCTTCCTTCCTCCTTGGGCCTTGGCCCTTCATTCCTCCTTTGAGAAACACCATTGAGTCAAACCCTTGACCCTCGGTGTTGTTCCTCTTTCCATCTCCCTTTGTCTCCTTTCGTCCTACCCTCGCTCCTTTTGATTCCGGACCCCTCCTTATATACAATGTACATAGTAACTTGTAACCTCAGTCCGAAATCGACCTGAATTCCCCCCAAGAGACTTTCCCTCTGCTAGATCCGAAATTAGGGACCCCCAGGACAACCAGCAATGGCACAGCGCTCCACCTGAGTCACTGAGGCCGAGGTCCTTCCATGCTAAGTCTCCGATTCCACTCCGGAGTCATCCGAATCCGACAGTTCTAACACAGATCCTGTGCCTGAGTAGACAACCTAGATGCATGTACCACGATAAGTAGTCCCAAAATCATTATTCATTTCACCTGCACCTTCATATAAAGATTCATTAATTCCACTTGCCAGTCAATTGCCTGGAATCCCCCCCTTTCCCCGAGGGGTTACACAACCAGCACTTCTTAATGGCTTCTTGAAGTGGTTGTGGGTAATGTTGCAATCTGGAGAGAAACTTTGAAAGGTATGTTGCGTACTTATGTTTTCCACTTGCTTGGAAGAGTGGGACCCAGAATGTAAGGACATCGATTATCACATTGACCATTCCTGTTATGGGAATGGACCTAGAATCTTATGGTCCGTGACTATAGACAATCAAACCTTAGCCCCTTCAACTTTATTTCTTTGTCAAACCCCATGCCAAGCTTTCCCACTGGGTTTTGGTGCTGGCTGGGGGATTTGTTGAGTTTCAAGGGACTTCCTTTGACCATTATGATTTTTATATTAGATAGTTAGAAGTCATATGATGTATAAGGCAGATGCCGGAACTGTTCTCATTATCAAATACATAACCCACAAACCCTGTACCGCAATTGTAACATCCTCACCATTGTGTCACCACTGTAAACTCAACCTGTAACCCTGGAACCATGTCCACCTCCCTATTCCTCCTCTCCATGACAAAACCGCAGCGAGGAGGGCATTCCCACGCCCAACCTCCTGCTGCCCACTCCCACCAGTCCACCGGGTGGTTGAGTGGTTACTCCCATCCAACCAGAAGTTCCCTATCAGGAACTGTAGCCTATCCCACCTCCTCAGGAGAAGGATACGGTCCAGGCAGCTCCAGGATGCCTGGCCACACACCCATGGGTCCCACTTCCCACGGTCACCCACTACCATGCACTGGTCCACCAGCCCGCTTTCCCCAACAACTCCCGCTACCGGTACGCTCCCATGAGCGCCAAGTCACCGATAACCACCAACTGGGTGACTCCCTTTGGGAGTCCCAGTATCCCTCACTACCGGTACGCTCCATTGAGTGCCAAGTCACCGCTAGCCGAACACTCCCAGCACACCCGCTACCGGCACGCTCCCAGGAGCGCCAAGTCCCCGTTAGCAGACAGCCAGGTGGCTCCCTCAAGGAGCCCACATCATACTCGCTACCGGTACGCTCCCAGGAGCGCCAAGTTACCGTTGGCCGACACACAGGTTGTACTTCCATACACTCATCCTATTCCGCTCTCCCTCCGATGGCTACGCAGCCACCTCCATTAGTGAGCCGAACGGCTCAGGTTGGGTTCCCCGGAACCCATTCCTGTAACAATTCCGTAGTTCATTGCGCTGTAGGAGAAATAACGGTCACACTATGGAAATATGCCAGATAAATCACAAAACCCCATACGACAAGTAGATATGAGAAAATAGAAGGACCTGAATTTTAATGAATTTTTACAAATTATTATGACTATACGCGATAAATTGAAAGAAAGAAAATTAGGAAAAATACTTCAAGCTTAGCATCAACAAGACGGAATTCTCGGGGGAATTTATACCAAATATTAAAGAAAGAATTAGGACAATCGACCAAGATTTGACTATAGAAACAATCAGAGAACCTCCACGGAAACTACTTTCCCATGTCTGCACATGTAGCCAAGGATGGAAGTACCACAGAACAAGGATTCCTCAGGAACTAATGCAAAATTCAAAGTCGTGTTTATAATAGGAAATGTAGATGTCCCCCAAATGGACCCAATGAAAGTAATTACAGGGAAAACTATCCATAAACGACAGAGATATTACTAAAACTCCTGCAAAACGAGGACAACGTTTTAAAAGCAAGCGCGAAGGCTAACCAGTAACGACCGAGACGAGCTTGATAGCCCATTAGGAAGGAAGGGATCTAATCTTAATCCACCCAAATTTTCATAATAAAAGGATCATGCATTAATGAGATATCCAATAACGGGAATAGCGACATCCAAAGTCCAAGCTCAGGGAAAAGACGATGTTTGCATAGGATCCATAATTACAACATACAACGAAATTTACACGGAAATCATGAAAAATAGTGAACTATAGTTATGCAAATTTTCAGCCCAAATGGTCCAGTCGTTGTGAAGTTATACCCATGATGGGAATATAGAAATCCGCATCATGTTTAATGACACATGAGGGTGGCAATGCAAAGGGAACCGGCTGTCGGAACCGAGATCCGCACTTTGGCAGATCGCGAAGACCAATTTCCATCCAAATAAGGAAGAGCCCGGTCAAAACAAAGCATGGAAAGTGCAAAACAACCTTAGATCATGAGGGAAAAATCTGAAATAAATCACAGAAGCCCATATGAAAGATATAAACACCCGTGCATATCATAAATCCCGAACAATTAAACAGAAACAGCGCCTGCATACGAACGACTATGGGAATGATGCACATGATTACTGAATGTGCGCGTGAACTTTTTCTAACTCGACAAATACCAGGAAATAGAACACAACTTTAGTACCATTGGAAAGGTGGGAATAAATGAAAATTTATGATACCAAGAACGTGAGAAACCATCTAGAAATGAATGAGATACAAGGACATGAAGTTAGAAACCTGATAACGCGTGGGAAGACAGCTTCAAGAGGTCCAGAGCCCTAAATAAAATACATAAAAATATGATATCTTCGAGGACGACCTACTATAACAATGAACAATACATATGGAGGATTAGGATGTGATAATACAAGGGGGAATCAGGGAAGATGAACGAAATCCACGAAAACCACTAAACTACGACAGACCATGGCGGGAATTTTAGGGAACAATATTCTAATGAAGTGGAGAGCTATAATACATTCGTTTGAGTAATTCTTGACTACTAGCAACTTTTTCTTTTGGTTTTAAACCTGAACAATTCACTCATTTACCAGTCTCATTTTGACTAAATGTCACTGAATAAAAATGGAATAAATCAGCTGGAGGTCTCAGCGCAGCCGCACGCATAGTAATGCGAAGTTTGAATTCAGAATCACCGAGTCATAGCAAATTTAATGGTAAATATGAGGAATTTGAAATAGGAAAACTGCAACAAATGCAGTGCAGTCAAGTTTAAATTAACCATTAAAATAGCTTAGGTGAGGAAGGACAATAAGGATTCTAGGTGCAGTCTGACCACAGTAAAGCCCAGTAGAACTATAGCGTGAAAATTTCATTTTTTTATTCAGTTTGAGAAAAATACACTGTAAATAAATCCTGTAAATAGGAGGTAGAGCGTGAAAAAGGAAGGCGACCCAAGGAGTATAAAAGGGAGACCCTTTCTGCGACTTTTTGCCCCCCTCAGAGAAGTAAGAAAATAGAGTATTATTTTTCTCAAGCATTTCTGGTTGTCACTCCAGTGCGAAAAAGTGATATACAGTTAAGATTGCCACTGTAGTAAAAAGCAGCAATTAAGGAGAGAAATATTAAGTAGATATTTCAACAGGAGAGCTGGTTAACACTCCAGATTTCAAAGTGTAAACACAAAACAGTTATTTTGCTACTGTTAAAACAAGCAATAAAATAAGACAAAAATAAAACAAACTCAAGGGACACTCCAGACACAATCCAAATCCATTATCTGAGTAGAATCTTTGAAACTTCACCAAGTAGAAGATTTAATTCAAGTTAAATTCCAAATTAAACAACGCTACACAGAATTACACCTAGACAAATTAAGAAATTTCAATAAAGGAACAGCTCTGCAGGGCTCAGTTTATCTGTAAGTCAATTCCCAGAAACTTTAGACTAACCCATAAAAATAGAATTAGCCAAAACACTTGGATTGGTACTATATTTACAACAAATAATACTAGTACACTTCCCCATCCTAACTAAAGAACCGGGGAACAGCTTGGTGGTGGTCTCGTTTGAACCTCCCAACTGACCTTCCTTTGTTCTCTCCTTCACCGCATATCCGCGCATGCGCTCCAACAGACCTCTGCATCACCTCCGACCTCAACTCAGACAGAAACCATCCATCTTCAGTCCGTCTTCTGACAGTCTGCCCGACTCTGACAATATTTCAGTCTCTGACAGAGTGGACGATTCCGGAGTGGAACTGGAGACTTAGCAAGGAGGGACCTTGGCCTCAGTGACTCAAGG